CACACCTCGAATCACGTCAAGGGTGTGCGAGCTATCAGCTTGCAGATACAAGGGATGGCAGGAGGGATCATCCAGGGCCAAGGCGCGGGCCCCCGAGCAACGACCAGGGAGGAAGCGTCTTAGAAGGCCCTTCAGAGAAAACTTACGTTCACAAACCTGACACTTAAAGTCCGAGGAGGAAGAGGAGGAGGAGGAGGAGGAGGAGGGGGTGGAGGGGGTGCATGCCGCGCGTGCGCTGGTTCTGGCCAGGCCCACCCCCCGGCCAAGGATCGGGGACGTGCCGAAGCGGGCGGGGGGGCGGCGTGCGAGCATGCTCGCCTGGGCCGCAGGCGGGCCCCCCCCGTGGGGGCACGATCGGAGGAGGAACAGGTACCCATACCTCTACCACCCCGCCCGTTTTCACCTTTATGGGCCTCCTGGGAGGCCCTCGTCACCACCGCTGGATCCGCCTCGAAATCCGGTCAGGACGCACCCCGGGAGAGGTCTGGGTGGCAGTGGTAGCGAGTACCTTTTGGTTTCCCTACACGAAGCGTGCGAGGGTCGATGATCCTCAGAGCGTGTGTCAGCGCCAACGCGCGTTTGCCCATTGAGGCCCTTCGCTACGACGAAGACGATGTATGATCGACTGGTCGGGTTGAACGGGGCAAACACACATTGGGCTGACACACGTCCTGAGGATCGTCGAGATGGGTGGTGCTGGCATGGGCGGGGAACGGCAGGTGCACCCGCCCTCCCAGCGTGGCTCGGGGATCTACGGGCCCGGGTCGATCCAGACCCGTGTCAGTCGGGCTCTGCAGGATCGTGCAAGATCTGAGCATCGTTCATCCGATCTCCATCCCCAGCGGCGTGGTCTGGGTCCCACTGGCCGATTCATCCCCCTAGATGGGAGTATAGGCCGCTCCCTTCGAGCTTCGAGGGGTGTATCCCCTACTGGGGGGTAATTTGGTGGGGGTCTCGAAGGGGATGAGCATGGGGATGGGGGTCGGTTAAACGATACTGAAGATCCTGCAGGATCCTGCAGGATCCTGCACCCGCGCCCGGGTCAGTGCAGCCCTGGCCCTTTCAGGATCCTGCCAGATCTGGCGCTCTGGCTGACCCCCGCTGGCATTGACCCCCGTCCCTCGAGCCCCGATTGGCCAGGAAGGCGATGCCGCGCCGGTCCTGGGCCCAGGGTTGGCCCGGCCAGGATCGACGTGGGCGTACAGCTGGCGCCCTCGGGTCCTGGGGCCTGGCTTCGCCTCGATCGGGACGCAGGAGGACACACCAGTACTATGTGTCCTCCTCGGAGGCGAGCGTCCGACCCGAACATGCAGTGCACAAATCTTACAGTACATCGTTTCCCGAGCGGTACGGTCAGAAAGCGCCTGCCACGACGCATGCACTAGAAGGTTTCTCGGCGCGCGCGTCGCCCCCGGGGGTCGGGCGCACACGTAGTATTGGTATGTTGGGGTGACGCCGAGCGATATTCTGGTCAGAGTGCGCCCCAGTGAGACGCACAGAGACATACTAATACTATATGTCCTCCTTGGAGGCGCGCGTCCGACCCGAACATATAGTACACCCATCCTGTAGTAGATCGTTTCCCGAGCGGTGTGGCCAGAAAGCGCCCGCCAGGACGCATATACTATAAGATTTCTCAGTGCGCGCATCGCCTCTTGGGGGGCGACGCACACATAGTATTAGTATGTTGGGGTGACGCCGACCCAGGGTGTGGAGGCCGAGTCTGGAATGGGATGGGCATTTCTTCTTCCGATCGACAATGGGGCGGCTGCCAGCTGGAGGGACGGGACAGGAATAGGGAGGGCGAGGAGCCTCGGTGATCCGGCTACGCCCCGCAACCGCTTGTCTCACAGCTCGTCTTTGGGATTCGGGATGAACATGCTGGCGACGGGTTCATTCGCGCCGTCACGCAACTCAAACAGATGAGTGTGGCCGGTGTACTGGCATAGATGGCTGCCTTCGTTGATCCACACGAACTCCGAGGTGCCGTGCTTGAGTTCCACTTTCCCCTCAAGCATGCGATTCATGAAGCAAATCGTCCACGGATGAAGACCCCGGGTCTTATGGTCAGTGTTCACATCCATGAAAATAGTTACACGGAACTTCATGTCTGTTGATCGCAAAACAAAAGAAGAATTACGAGGGATGTTGACAGGCGCCACGTGGCCAGGAACAGTGATATGCCCAAAGAACCGATCAGAATCCTTGTTGCCCTGGTCTGGAACGTGGTAAAGCGCGAAGGAATGCTTACCGTTTGCCTGCACTCTGGCACTAATTGTACTCGGGTAATCGGCGGACACAATCCCGCACAAGACTGCTGCCAGCAGGCTGCGGGAGCCCGAGACCAACATCCTGTCGAAGCTGCCAGCACCGAGCAGAAGTCGGCGCGCGAGAGGCAAAACTTGAGCCGAACAGGCGCCCGACGTGTCTGGGCCGAGCGGCCGGGATGGGGATGAGGACCAGGCTGGGCATGAGGACGTGCACGGAGATGGGGGCGAGGCGGAGGATCAGGGGGCGATGGGGCGGAGGACGAGGGGGGGCGGGGCGGGGGGCAGCCGTTGCCCGCCCGGGGTGGGGCCCGCGCGGGGGGCCACTGGCAGCGAAGCGCCCGCCACAGGGGCCGCAGAGGGCGGGAGGGCACCCCCAGACTCCCCCGCTCTGCGGCAGCCCCTGGCGGCGCCCGCGGCAGGCGGCGGCGGCGGCGGCGGCGGCAGAGCTGCCCGAAGCCAGCCCTGCAGGTGTCTCCACAGGGTCGACCGGGATGACATAGGTGCGAGGAGTGCACTTCCGGCCCGTGGCCGAGGCCCCTCCGCAGTGCGTGTCGGAGATTGGGTTATGTAGCGCTCGTCGGAGGACGCGCGCAGGCGAGGGACGTGGCCAAGCTGTCCATCGCCCTGAACGTCGCGCTCGACGCCGCCGCCGCCCGCCCTTGCTCAGGAGTGCTGGCCGGCGCCCCACCGCCCCCGCAGGAACCAGCTGCTCAGGCTCTGCAGCGACGTGGTTGTTGTTTTCGTGATGCGGGACCTGCGCCTCTGGCCCACGAGATGGACCTCTACGAGGACGAGGATGAGAACGAGTACGAGGATGAGAACGAGGGTGTGTTCAAGATTTTCAACGACCACACGGTGGTCGTGACGGAGGAGCAGGAGTACGGCGTGGCCGTACTCACTGTTTTGGACAGCGCAAAGGAGGAGGAGTCTGAGGGCATGGAGGGCAAGGAGGAGTTCGAGGGCGTGAGGGAGGAGACTCTGGACCTGGAGCAGTCGTGCACACCTTGCTCGGCAGACGTGGAGATCACGCACTCCGATGTGGTCCTTCCTGGGGCTTGGCTACGCCTTCGCGACCGGCGTATTGGTTCCCGCCTGGGCCAATTCGTTCGCCTCCCCCTACGCCTCGACCGTACTGAGGCTGCGCACGGCCCGCCCAACCGGGAACGTGGCTTTCACAAGTCAGAAGTGACAACCCAATTCTTCGAGGCGCCCTTCAGATTCGGGTACTCGAACGTCGGGGCCACTGGCTACGCGTGCGACGCGATGCCATCTGTTTTGCAAGAGCGAGGCTTGGATGTGAAGGCACACATGAACGCTGTCTGCTCCAACGAGAGCGGTTTCGACCAGGAGTTCGCAGCAGCCATGGTCTCTTCGTCCTGAGTGTGCGCCAGCTTGCTGGATTTACACTTCTCTAATTTGAGACTTGGAAGGTAGACTTCCCAGCAGATTTGGTATTCGATGTCGATTGCACTCGCTGCTCCCGTGTTGGCCCCTGGTGGTGAGCACTTACCCGACGACCTCGCAAACGCAGGTTTAGGTAGCGGGAGCAGCGAAAAGATGGCAGATGTCGTGATCAATGTGGTCCTCACAGTCCACCCGGCCGCCCCTCTTATTGCCCTCCTAGCTGGTCTCCACTGTCCTCGGCGCTGCCTCCTCGAAGGGCGTGCAGTCGTCGAGCCGCCGCTGCTGCTGCGGGTCCTACTGTAGCCGGAGGCGGTGGAGTCGGAGGTTGAGGCGGCTGCTCTCGCACGCGACCGTGGCCGTCAGGTCGGCCTCTCGCGTATATTGGCCTCTTGCGGTGCGATAGGCGACCCTGGCGCAGCGCCTCTTCCCGGCCCTCTTGCAGGGGACGCCCGAGGCGGTTGAGGAGGATAAGTGGGAGGAGTTGGAGGCATCGAGGAGACATGATGTTCTTGGCAGCCTGCTTGTGCCGGCTCTTTGGCCGCCGCGCCGTCGGAGGAGATGGCACGCAGGCCCGCGACTTTGGCCAGGTGGCCTCTCGCGACTCTGGCCTGATGTGGAGGAGTAGGTGGGGTCTAGCAAGGGTGGAGGAGTGTCAGCGCTACGACGAAATCTGATCATTTTCACGCGCGCCGTTCTGAGTGTATTCGTCGACAGCAGCGGCGGAGTCGCAGCAGAGCGCCGCTCCAGCCTCTCATGGTCGACATTGGCGTCTTTCGGACGGTGCCCGTGGCCCCCCACCCCGATCTCTCTCTGGCGTAGGAGAGGTTGCTTGTGGCATGGGCTGGGCGCCGCTAGCTCAGTGCAGCTTCGCGCCCGTGGCTGGTCTTCCGAGCGTGCATTGATGATGGTGGTGGAGTTGGAGGAGGAGGAGGAGGAGGAGGCGGACCTTCCCACTGCTGTGCGTGCTGGTGCAACCTCTGGTTTTCAAAAGGACCCACTTCCGTGACGACGTTCCCCGATCCCACACACCTCGAGCTCCCGTTGATTCGGGCCGAGGAGGTAGGGTGGGACAACCTGACTGGGGACCTCTACTACTTGCACCTGTTGCCGTTCTGCCAGTTTCCCTCCCCCCCGCTCCCGTCCGGCACCTTTACATCCTTGCCGTGACTGAGCGGCCTCCCGTCTTGCACCCGCTCTCCCGTGAGCGAGCTCCTGGTGGCGACCGCCGTGAGGCCGCCGAGAGCTCCTGCTGCCCCGTGCAGGGCACGCCTCTCTTGCTCCCGTGGCCGCTGCTGCTGCAGCGGCCGGCTCTGCCGACGCCCCTGGCCCCCGGCGGGGGGGGCTTCTGCACGTGCCTGTGCGGGGCGTGCGGCCGCGCCGCCCGCCCGTCGGAGCGGCAGGCGGGTCGAGAGGGAGGCCCCGGGGGCTCAGGAGCGCACGCGGTCCGAAGACGAGGAGGACGGGTGGGGAGCAGGAGGAAACGAGGGGAACGGGGGGTGGGTGGGTGACGAGGGGAACGGGGGCGGAGGACGAGAAGACGAGGCCGAGGAGACGAGGAACGGGGGTGGGTGGGTGGGCGGAGGACGAGAAGACGAGGAGGATGGGTGACGAGGGGAACGGCGGCGGCGAGCGAGGGGGGTAACATGTCGGAAGCCGGCGGGGGCCTCTCGGGAGGCCTCTGGCCTTCCGAGAGGTCTTCTGCGTCTTCGGGGGGAGGGTTAGAGCAGGGCCAGGGGGGGCCTCCGATCCTTCTGGGAAGGCCCGCCCCTTCTCGCCTCCCCCCCGGTACCGCCGCCAAGAATGGGAGGGAGAGGGGAGGGGGAGGGGGAGGAGTCGAAACCAGAGGGGCCAACGACAGGTGGAATCCTGGTCCTGTTTCTCCTCCTCCTCCTCCTCCTCCTCCTCCTCCTCCTCCTTTCCAACTTATCCCTGTCGCACCCCGAGGCAAGTGTTTAGGGCACCCCGCATCACGTATGACTCTGCAGCTTGAAAAGTGGCATCAGTTTCACAGATGGAGGGCGGGTGTTTTCTTTAATGTGGCTCTCGCCTTAGCGCCGCGCACGTTCGTTTAAAAATTCGCAAGAGTTTCACTGATTGAGGGCGGGTGGTTTTCAAAATGAGGCTCTCGCCTTAGCGCCGCGCACATTCGTCTCAAAGATTTGCAAGAGCTTCACAGATTGAGGGCGGGTGGTTTGGAAAATGTGGCTCTCGCCTGAGCGCCGGGCACATTCGCTTCAAAGAGCTGCAAGAGATTCACGGGTTGAGGGCGGGTGGTTTGGAAATGTTGCTCTCGCCTTAGCGCCGCGCACCTTCTTTTGAAACATTTGCAAGAGCTTCACGGATTGAGGGCGGTTCCTTTCCAACATGTGGCTCTCGCCTTAGCGCCGCGAACATGCGTTCATACAATTTGGAAGAGTTTCAGAGATTCCCATGATCAGCGTATCAGAAATTTGTTTTGGAAGGATTCAGGAGCATGCGGGTGCAACAGTGATGTTGCCTCGCGGTGTTGCCCCACAAATGGCGTCCTGGCACGATTCCGGATCGTCAAGACGCAGCATTCAGGTTGATCCGTGGCGTTGAAATCCCGAGACCAATGTTTTGGCATGCTTCAGGGTCTTGAAGGCTGTTTTCAAACGAGGCAGTTCCCACAATGGAAATGAACCGCTGTAGGGGCTTATGAAGAGGGAGCTTGGAGGGAGGGTTAATTCCAACATCGTTAATGACTCTTTGGTTTACACTGGTCCTCCTCCTCCTCCTCCTCATCCACCACCTCCTTCTCCTCCTCCTCCTCCTCGACAGTGGGCGGAAGGGAGGGGGAGAAGGGGCGGGTCTGGCTTCGGACTTCTGCTCAGTGCGACTGCTTGCAGCAGTGCGTCCTGTGGGGGAGACTCCGCCTGCTCGAAGCGTGCGCCAAAAGCAGCCAAGATCTACGGGAGGGAGGAAGAGGGGGAGCGCGGGTGCGAGGGCCCGCGCCGATCGGCAAAACGATGCATAAGAAAACGATCACCTCCCCCTTGCGCTCGGCCTGGCCGTTGGACCGGCCCCGCGCGGCGCTCTGGCTGGGGCGGCCGCTCGTCGGGGATAGACGAGCGCGCTCCATTTACTCGCAGAGTAACCACTCGCAAATGGCCTGGATCCCCCGCGGGGGATCCACGACGAACTACATCAAAACGGGCATGTGCTTCTCAGACGCTTGCAAGCAGGCACTCTGCGAGTCGTGGAACGCGCTCGGTGAGGGAACCCGAGTGGGCAGGCGCGGCCCGCGGCCTGCCGGCGCGGTCCGCCGGGCTTCGGCTCCGCCCCGCGGCGCGGTGGAGACGCCCGGGCCTCCTCGGAGCGTGCTCGGCCCGCCGGCCCGCTGCCTCGGGCTCGGAGACCCCCCCCCCGTCTCCCCAACACCCCCCCCCCCTTGCCCTCCCCACCTCTCTCCCGCCCTCCCTGACTACCTACCAGACCACCCCAACCCAACCCGAAGACCCGAATTTGACCCGAATTTCGGGTTGGGGGGGGTACGGATACCATGTGTTTTTTCAACGTTCCCCGACCCCCCCCCACTGGAAATCGAGGATAAATTTGGGCCTTCGGGTTGGGTTGGGGTGGTTTGGTGGGTGGTGACTCCCCTCCTGTGTCCCTTCATCATCCTGCCCTCCGTGCTGGGGGTTTGTTGGGCCATCTTGGGGTCTCCCGGGGGCCTCTTCGGGGCTCAGTGGGCCGTCTTGGGGTCTCTTGGGCCGTGTGGGTGCGATCTTGGAGGCCTCCTGGGCCGTCCTGGAGGGCCCTGAAGCTGGAAAGCGCGAGTATGTTGGAACACGTTGGAAACATCTTG